GCTCTTCCAGTGCCTGGAGCAGTGTAGGTGCACAGTACACATCCGTTTAGTGAGTAAGTGAATAAAGCCATATCAGCACAAATGCCGTGTGCTTAATGCCCACGCTCTCCTGTTGTGGTAGGTCCTTTTATTATCGTTCTACCTCCTAGAAATGGAAACAGAGGCTCAGGGAGGCTGAATCATTGCCTCAGGTCAACGGTGACTAAATTTACACTCAGGCTCTCCTGCTTCCAGAGTTCTTGGTCCTGTCCACCTCTCTGCCTCATGGCCTTGGTGTTATTAGAAGCTGCTTGAGCCAGCTGTGTTGATGGCCCAAGGATGCTGGCAGGTCTTGTGGTCTCTGCTGCAGTTTTTCTTTTTTTTAATTTATTTTATGGAAGTATAGTTGATTTACAATGTCGTGTTAATTTCTGCTGTACAGCAAAGTGACTCAGTTACCCCTATATATACATTCCTTTTCATATTCTTTTCCATTATGGTTTATCACAGGGTATTGAATATATTCCCCTGCTCTACACAGCAGGACCTTGTTGTTTATCCATTCTGTATGTAATAGTTTGCATCTGCTATTCCCAAACTCTGCCGCAGTTTCTGAATGCAGCTTTTCAGGCCCACCCACCCACCTCATTGACGTCGGCTTTCTTCCATCCAGGTCTGTTGTGTCAAGTCTGGACTCCCCTGCCAAGACTAGCTCCATGGAAAAGAAACTTCTCATCAAAAGCAAAGAGCTGCAGGACTCCCAGGACAAGTGTCACAAGGTATTTATTTCCGCAGCCGGCCTCCCTCCTTGCTGCAGGAGCCTCCCGTCAATATATGCCAAGGGATCCGCCCGGGGCCACCGCTGGCGCCGAGCCACCTGATCCTTCCCGCGCTGAAGTCGCGCCTCCGGCAGCTCAGAGGGAGATGAATTCGGGCCTTGACGCTGCCGTAAATCCTTTAAATCTTAACCAGAGGAGGCCCTGGATATAAAGCGGCCAGTTCCTCAGCATGACCCAGCTAGATGTCTGCGTCTTCTGGCAGGTGGCGTGGGTCCTCACCTGTGGCCGAGATGCATCCCATCTGCTTTGAGTGATGCGAAGTCTCTCTTCCTAGTCTTTAAAAACTCCTGCTTATGTAACTGCGGCCACTGTGTTGATTATGCTCAACGTCTCTTAACGCTCACTGTTTCTGCCCAGGGGCAGCTCTCTGGAAGCTCATAAGAGTCACTTCTTGCCTGGGACTCCTAAGAGTGCAGACGAATCCATATCTCCTTGCCCTGTCCTGGATTTGTCCTCTAGATCTTTGCAAGGAGATGGGGGGGATCAAGATGGATTTGGGATAAAATTAAACTGACGTCTGCAAAACAAACCAAACCAAACCCAAAAAAAGCAAACAGGTGAAAAAAATGGTGATTGTGGCTTCCTCGCTCACTGGGTTAGAGAAGTGATCGAGTGTGAACCCAGCCTTGCATGAGAGGAGTGACTTAGCATTGGTGACTGCCCTTACGAAGACCTGTGCGCTCCCAGGCGAAGAAACCATGGTATTTCCATCCCAACCTTTTGGCGAGTTAGCGCCAGCCGGGACCACCAGGTGGTCTTGGAGGCGGCTTGAGATGCGATTGCTCCTGACGAACACCCCCCCCCCCGCCCCCCTGGGCCTTTTTAACGTGTCGCTGTGTTTATTTCAGATGGAGCAGGAAATGACCCGGTTACATCGGAGAGTGTCAGAGGTGGAGGCTGTGCTTAGTCAGAAGGAGGTGGAGCTGAAGGCCTCTGAGACTCAGAGATCCCTCCTGGAGCAGGACCTTGCTACCTACATCACAGAGTGCAGTGTGAGCCTTCCCCCCAAAGCCCCCTTCCCTCGGAGGGGGCGCTTCCCGTCGTGTGTGTCTCATCCTGTTTCGTGACAGCATCATGAGGCACATCACAGCCAGGGGCAGAGAGGAGAGAGAGGGAGGACGCACGAGCAAGACCTGTGATATGCAGAGTAGCGGGAGCCGGGCGTGAGGGCCCAGAGGCCTGAGATCAGGCTCAGAAAGTCCAGGTAGGAGCCTGGAGACGGGCATAGACGGCGTTGCAGAGGGTCTCAGCATCTCCCATCCCAACCTCTCTGCTCCACCTCGTGTCCAGCACAGTCAGCCTCAGGAACCAAGCTCCCAAATAAGTGCAAGAAAATGTATTTTGAATCTGTCCCAAATCAATATTCCATTGCCTAGAGCCAGCGCAGCAACAAGAAAAACTCAGCCTTTAAAACCCAGACCCTCTGTCATCGTTTACCATGCGACTTTTTTTTTTTCTTTCCTTCACAAGAGTGGACTGTCTTCTCCATTGTCTTGTTAAAAATTTTCATTCAGGTGTTTTTTAATGTACAGTCTTAACAAGTTGAATCACAACATTTTTCAAGTGTTTTTTTTTCACAAGGGAGAGGAAATCTATAGAGCGTGGCTGATTAAGAATAACTGCTATGTTTCCATTCCAGATTTGGCCTCCTTTCAGTGGTGGGTAAAGTTATTCAGCTTTGTATTTCAGATCTATATTTCAGTGTCACTGAAGCATTGAGGGAAGCTTTTAGATGAAAGGTGTCCAGGAAACCTGGAGGTGGAAATAGTTTGCTTGGAGTCTTAAATGGCACCTGGGCAGAGAATGAAGTCATTGCTACTTTGAAAGAGGGATATATAGGAGGGGGGCAGTCCTCGAATAACTGCTATTCCAGAAAAGACTTTGTAGCCACCCCAATGATGGTTTCATGGCTAAGGGATCTTATTAGTTTTTAGTCCTGAACATACAAGTAAGTATCTGCTAGGGCAGGTAGGAAACAGGTGGATGCAGTTTCAGGCTGGATCCATAAGGTCATAAGGTTTGAGATGATGTTTCTTGAACCAAGGGGTTTTACAGGATGAAACCTGGAATCAGCGACTCACCGGAAGTTGTCGACTTTGGTCCGTCACCTGAAACCATCTTGGTGTCTGCGAAGCAGCCTGCAGCTCCCTTAATGAATCTTTTCAAACAGAGCAGGATCTGCAGGACAACCCTATTAAAATTTTGCTTTCCGCAGAGCTTAAAGCGAAGTTTGGAGCAAGCAAGAATGGAGGTGTCCCAGGAGGACGACAAAGCACTGCAGCTTCTCCACGATATCAGAGAGCAGAGCCGGAAGCTCCAAGAAATCAAAGAGCAGGTATGGCTCCCTGCCCGGGAGCAGGGCACCAACCGGACCTCTCATTTCAGGAGAGGTGTGTTTGAGGGACAGAGAGAGGGAAGGGGGGGCGGTGAGGAGAGAACATTATGTAGGTCATTTGGAACTTTTAGATTCCCCATGATTTATATAAATGGCAGAGTCCTTGTTCTATCTAGCTCCTTGTGAAGTCTGGGCCCCATGATGGCTACTCTTTTCAATCGAAGGTGTAGGTTTAGAGCAGGGGTGAGCAAACTGTAGCCTGTGGACAAGCTAAGAATGGTTTTTGCATTTTTAAATGGGGGAAAACTCAAAAGAATAAGAATATTTCATATGGAATACAAATTTCAGTGTTTATAAATAAAGTTTTATTGGAACACAGTGCACCCATTCATTTAGGTACTGCCCATAGCTGCTGATCATGCTACAATGGCAGAGGTGAGTGCTTGTGACAGAGACCACATGGCCTGCAAAACTGAAATTGCTTCCTATCTAGCTTTTTACCAAAAGAGTTTGCCAACCTCTGCTTTAGACCATTAAAAAAAAAATTAATGTTTTCATAGCTTTTCAGATGCACTTTAAGTTTTTGAGAAAAGCCAGGGTACTTCATAGTCTTACTTATCTAAAGAATTATCCTAGAAGAAGAGTTTGAGCAGTTAAGGCCAAGTCAGAATTGACACAGTAAATCTGACTACAGAAAGCCCTCCCCTGTGTGTTCAGAAAAGAGAATCCAGACCTTTAAAAAGCCTACTCTCTTTTTTTACCCCCTCTATTTCTAAAAGGATTTTCTTTCTAGATGGTTCATTTTTATTTCACTTCACTGTTTCCTTTTTAGCATGGATTTTTTTTTTTTTTGTCCTTTGAAGAAACTGTAAATAGAAACTTTAATGAAGAGAATGCACTGAGCAATCGGAGAGCTGAATTATCAGCTGCCAGGCAACTCTCATTCACTTCAGAAAATCTAGTGGAAACAGTGATGGAAATGAACATTTTTGTCTCTGGGTAACGCATACTTAGCCATCTGGGTGGTGCTAATGCAAGAAACCCTGGCAAATAATTTGATTCATTAGCTGTTCTTTACAGAAAGAATTCCTGTTTTGGATGTTTTGTTGGCATCATCTCATTATCACCTTAATACTTTTTAAATCATTGGTTAATATCCTCTTGCTTGATAAAAGTGTTCTGAATAAACGTGCATAGGAAATGGTGCAAATTCATTGTCAGGTTTCTGAACAACAACACTAACTTAGAGATTTTGAAGGTCACACCTACAGTTTGAAAAAATCTGCTTTGACAGTTGACTCGTTGCCCCTTTTATCACACAGTTTTTCATCCTAAAAGTTTCAAGAGGTAGGATTCTTTTTCTCCCATTAGTTCAGTGTGGTTGGAAATTTGCTTTCGGTGACATCCCGGGGAAATGAAAGCTGTGCTTGGCCACCAGAGGGAGCAGCTGGTGTCTGTGAAATTCCATAGAAACAGAATTATCAGGACACTTTGAAAAGGTGTATGCTGGTGGTTGAGTTCAAAGAAATGTCCTTTGTGATTCATACCACAGTTGGCATCCATGTGGAATTTTAGATTTAATGACTGCTAAGTGTTCCATTTTGAGGGGGAGAAAACTTCGTTTCAGATTTTATTTCTCATCGGAAGAAGGATTTATTAAAATGACTCTCGGTAAGTTTGGTGAGAGCAGGATGTTTGCAATCCAGGAAAAAGCATTTAATACTTTCAGCAAACTCCTAGTATTTGGTTTGCAGCCTGTCAATTCCTCCCAGGTTTGCCATTTATTCCGCCCTCTTCCTCTCAAAGCCAATTTCTGTACTGCTGTTTATTTAATTTAAATATGTTGCTTCTGCTTAGCTACCCCCAATGGAGCACTTGAATTTGGTTTAAAATAAAAACACCTAGGGAATTCCCTGGTGGTTCAGTGGTTAGGACTCTGCCTCCCCACTGCAGGGGGCATGGGTTCGATTCCTGGTCGGGAAACTCATATCCCACATGGAGTGGCCAAAAATTAAATAAACAAATAAAAACACCTAAGCGTCTCACATGATGGTTAGATTCATGTTCCATCAGTAGCAATTGCTGATTTCGTCCCACCCCTCCCCTGCCCTGCTTCACCCCCCATCCCTGGAAGGGAGACAGAAGTTCAGGTAACAGAAGGCGTTTGGGTTTCAGGATTTCTGATGGAATAGGACCATGTCTTCCTTCCCACAAAATTCTGAAGCTCCATTCCAAAGAATGACTCGAGGCAGGACCCAAAAGTTGTCCACGGTTCCCCATTCTGATCCTTTTCAACTCTGACCCACAGTTCAGCCCATGCTGAGATACATACAGCTGCCTCTCAGCTGTCCTTGGGAACTGACCTGATTATATCTTCTCTCAGAGTTTTCCTGAAGCAGGGATTTGGTCAGCTGTTGGATGTATAGGATTTCCTTGAAGTATCCAGCAGAGTAACAGTGGCTCAGTAAATGAGGTGGAATTTTGTTTGATGCTTGTAGCAGGCTGGGTGCCCCCAGAGCTCAGATTGCTGACAGAGATGTTGCCTGAGTCTGGCCTTCCTCCCCCTGGGCGCTGACAGCTCAGGAAAGAGAGATGTTGGGGGAACAGCGCTCTGTCCTCACTCTTGACAAAACACAGAAATTACGTTCCCTTCTTGCCAACATAAGTTTAAGTCAGACAAGGGAGCTCAAGGATAAAAGATGGCCAAGAGTGCCTCCTACCTCTTTGCTTCCTCCACAGCCTGGTATTTGTGCCTGTGGGTACTTTGGATTTTTTAAAACTTTAAAATCAGAAGAAAAAAAATGAGTTGTAGGTAGAAGAAACGGTTTTCATAGGTAATGTTTTTGTCTTTATATGAATGCTATTGTAAAATGGAGTTTTATATATATATATATATTTTTTTTTTTTTAATGGAGGGTTTGTCTTTATATGAATGCTATTGTAAAATGGAGTTTTATATATATATTTATATTTTTTTTTTTTTAATGGAGGGAGGGATCCAGGAAGGCACAATACCCAGAGCTATGAAAGTCATAATAAGTCATGACACAGCCCTGGCTAAGGGGTCTAGAAAAACCCCAAGTAGAGGGTGTACTATTTCACATCACCGGCTCACGTTCCATTCTGTGAGTTGAGATAATTGTTCAGTAGGTTATAAAGACCTTTGCTTATATAACCCAGCGCCGCCCACTTAGTGGACATCGTCCAGAAAACCTGGCGCCCCATGACTTGTAGGATTGACCTTCAATAACGATACAGTCGGCCCTCCGTATCCACGGGTTCCATGTCTGCAATTTCAACCAGCTGTGGATCGGATTTGGTTCTGGAACCATTCCCCTGTGGATACCGAGGGACGACTGTATGCTTTTGGGTGGGAAGGAGTGAAATGAGACCATGCTCCATTCTGTGCTCATTTTTTCTGCTTTCCGCTGTACCAATAATACAGAGAGATGTGCTTACGTGAAAACTATCCATTTTCATAAGGACATCACCTCCCCTTTAGTGTGCACTGGGGGGATTGCCTGTTACAAAGGATGAAAGGTTTACTTTATATTCTGTTACTAAAAAAAGAAAGAAAAAAAAAGACATTTTATTGGTTAAAAGCATAACCTTGCTCAGTTGATCCCTCTTCAGTTATTTCTTGGGGGAACGGATCTTAGAGATGTTCACTGTACATTGCGAAGGTCATAGACAGTCTTAATTCTTTATTCTTTTCATTTTATATCCTCCACCTTGGATTGGATAAACTGCTCATTCATAATCCTTATATATATAAGCTTTGCTTTTGCTAACAGAGAATATTTTCATACTTTGCCCCAAAGTTTTCAAAACCATTGCCCATTTCTTCTGGTAAATCAGTTTTGGAAAACTTCGATGCAGATGTCCTGTTTTTTTTTAATTTTTATTTTTTACCAAGCCTTTTTTTTTTTTTTTTTTTTTTTTTTTTTGGCGGTACACGGGCCTCTCACTGCTGTGGCG